TTATAGTAAGATGATATAAAACCAACCATTATCATAGCATATCTTTTTTCATAACATTTTTACTTATAAGAGCAAAACATGTTCACTGTAGAAATTTGGGGGTAAGGATTTGGGGAGATGTTGGCTCAGTGGGTAAGAGCACCCACTCTGCAAGCATGATGACTTGAACTGGGATCCCCAAATCCCACATAAGATGTCAGACTTCTCAGTGTGTGCCTGACCCCAGCATCGGGGCTGGGGGGCAGACACAGGCGGATCCTGAGAGCTTGCTGGTCAGCCAACCTAGTTCAACAGTGAGCTTCTGATTCAGTGAGGAAACCTGTCAGGGTGCTAGAACAGAGAGGGAGAAAGGAAGACACCCAATGTTCTGCTTGGGCCTCTGCCTATGTATGCATGGGTGTACTCACCTGCACATGCACATGCATTCAGCATACACACACACACACACACACACACACACATCCCAAAACAAAAAATGAATAATAAAGATAAAAAGACAATGAAAATCACTCAAAACTCAGTATTACCCAGATATAGTCACTGTTAATATTTTGATGTCTTTTTTCTCCATATAGACAGATGAACAGATACCGAAAATTTGTTAAACTCACTCAATTATATACTTAAAAAACAGTGTCACATCAATGCAGAGTTGTATAAGCTACTCTTTTCTTCACATTGACTTTAACTTGGGGGACGTTTTTATTTTAAAAAAGAGACAGCTGAGAGATACTAGCCAGTTATATTGTCTGCTGGTAGGAAAAGAATTTAAAACCATCTCCTATAAGCATGCTTGGAAATGCTTTTCCAAGGACACTTATCTTTAATCTTCCATTTGGACTTTAACCTTCCATTATTTTTCTTCCCATTTAGCTTGTGTTTTAAGTTATTCCCATAGTGACATGGTAGTAGTTTGGTGTTTATTCACCATGAGAACTGCCTATCATCTGTAAACAGATGCAAGATTATTAAAATAAGACCACCTCCAAACTAGTTCCTGGACGGGCAGAAATGCCTCTTCATCTCCACTCTACTTCTTGTTTCTTGGCCCACTTCCCATTCATAACAAAAGGTTGCAAACAGGGAGGAAACTGGGACATGCTAATTAATCAGGCTTTTTGAAAGATTAAAAAATACATTTTCTGCAACCCTTTAATGACAGATTTTCCTCCTCTAATTCTAATACATTTATTCCCCCTGTCTCTAAAATAAGTCACTGTTATAATTTATTTGCTCTTAATACTGCTCTTCTAATCACACACAAGGACATAGGTCTGGTATGATGACCCCAACAGTTCTTCCTGAAACCCTTTCCTTGACAGGATCCAATGTCCCCCTAATGTCTGGAGTGAACCAAGTCTCCCCATCTGGCCCTGTGATTTATCTGTATCTAGTCTGTTGATGAGGTCTGGAGTCTCCTGAGTACTTGCTACTTCTTGATCTATTACCTCCAGTGTGTGAACTGCTTGAGAGAGCCTGAGTGCAGGAACCTTACTCAGCAAAAACAGACATGAAGAATTTATATAAACTCTGTTTTATCTCCCTTGTTCTCTGAGTATGTTTAGTATATGAAAGTCAGTCACTTCCACAATCTTCATTTTATAGTATTTGTGTTTTAATGTTGGTTCAGAAATCTATTAGGAGAACCTTTTTCAAATTCATTTCTGGCTACCTCATGTCTAATGTACATGGACTATATCACCCTTCTGGGCTAAATTTAATAAGCTAATCCTTCAAATAGTCCTTTATACTTGCATGTATTCAAGCATTCTTTTGCTTTTTTTGCTGACTAGTGTTTTAAAGAGCTTGGGTATAAGTTTTTATTTTTCTTACTACATTTGGGTACTTATAATTTACATATCCATAACTTTCTTATACTCAATTTGATTTTCGAGTATTTAATTCCTTTCTGCCCCCAGTGTGTCAGCACTGAATTCCTTTTTACAGGATGATTATATATTTGACATCTTTCTTTGGAGTACCCTCTCCTACACTGATTTGAAAGTTACCAGCCATCATTATATACTGCAATCTCTGTTACATATAGTAGATGCTCAGCGAACAGTTCCTGAGTGAATGTATGGTAGCAACAGCTACCAATCATAATACAGCTAGTAGGTGTAACACACATTAAAAACTTCACATGACTTAGTGCATTAGGTCTCAGGTGACAGATCACAACTTCACCAGTACCTATAGCAGAGCTGGTATAACTAGGAAATCAATAATTATTTGCTTCATGAACAAACTGAAAAACTGCATGAAGTCAGTACAGTTTTTCTATTCACCATTGGAAGGAATTGAAATCCAAAGAGAGCTGATTGCTTACTGAAGTCCATAGTTTATATTATGTCAACACTTGAATCCAAAGCCCACACACTTAAGACTTACTACTGGTAAACTCAATACTAACCTATGAAATGTAAACAAAATTCACCTCATAAATCCTAAACATTATACAACATCACAAGTAACTATCCTGAGCCATAACTTTCCAAGAAAAGATCTACAAGTGATTGGTCTTTAATAAATAACCAGACAGGCTGAAATCTGTAAGCTCTCTATGCAATTTCTTTCATCAATGTTTTCTGCATTTTGTACACTACTCATTGAAGATTTCAGAACTTTTCCTTAATAGACAGTTTTTTCCTAGAGTAAATCTGTGTTTAAGTCAGCTGTCTTGTCAATTCTTTGTAAAATAATAATAATAGAATTGAAATAACACTTAAGACTTCACGATACATTGGGCACAGATCTTGGGAGTTTCTGCTTATAAAGTAGAAAACTTACATATGTCTCAAACATGCCTGACATTGACAGGTCATTTGAATTTCCTGAAACACGACCATTAGCATACCCATTTTTAGAGTTTGATTACTTGTATCTCTACCAACTCACGAGTAACATCATATCACGAAAATGGTGTTTCCTTAAAACCATTATTAGCTCTTTCCTTAAGTTTTCATCAGCCCACACATCAGGGAGGCTAAGTGACATTTGCTTATGTCAGTGCCTCTCAGGCATATAGGTCCCTGAAGCTCTGGGTTGAACAATCAAAAGAGGTACAGAAGTCAGAGGTAGGAAGTGCTCAAGTCAGCATCAAAAAAGGAAAGAAAGAAGGGTTGGAGGGTGGGAAATAAAGAAAGTGGAAAGGAAGAATTCAAAAACTACTTGAATTTGAGCTCTATCATTCAGCTTGAAAAAAAGAATAAAATAAAACAGAGCCTCAATTGTTCCATCTGTGAAATGGGGTGATAAAATATTATTTCCTCACAGATACTTTAATAGGAGAGTTCAATAAGCCACATAAACTATACAGTATAGTACAATATATCATAAAGTATACAATACTATTTTACTTGGCATTACCTGCCTAAAACCAACCCCATTTATTCATTTTATATTATAAACATTAATCTTACAAAGCTTATGCACAGCTTCAAAATGCAGCTCCCTGAACCACATCTACCTTTTTCCGTGGGCCTGATATTTTAACCCAAGGAACCAATATATAAGTCACAGCAGGCTTGTGTGCCTATAAGCTCAGAAAGCTTACTGTGTGTTCTCAAGACCAGAGTGCTGTAAACCTGTTTAAACAAGGAATCCCCTTTTAAGTCCAGTTTCAGTCAGCTGTCTTTGGTTGAGGTGCAAACTAAAATTGAAAACAGATAGATGTTTTACATTTAAATGAGTTTAACATAAATGTGCATTAATCCGGTTCATGGACGATTGCACAAGTATCTTTTGCAAACTTGATACGCGTGAGCACATATACAGTAACCATTCGTGTCTTCTAGAGAAATAAGGTAGATTCAAAATTTTAAACAGCTACTTGGAGTTCCTTTCACTAGAAAGAAAATGTAATGGCTTTAAGGGAATTGCTCTAATAATATCATGGCATCAGCGATGGCTGGCCAGAGCAGAGTATATGTCACCACAAGTCAATTTAACAAGAAATAAGCTTTCCCCCTGGAAAATCTAAACTCCCTAGCCTCCCACAAAGAAAATTGAATTTTGGAGGTCACACCTTGGGTAGGTTACCAAAGGGAGAAGCTTAACATTCTTTTTTGTCATGTGCTCTCCAAAGCCAATGCTGTTCTACCAAATTGCTACCACAGATCTTTTCCGAATTCCCCCCGAACCCCCAAAATTAAAACATCCCCAAGGATGGCAAGTTGGTTGTAATCCTTAAAAACGCCTGGACCATGCTAGATAAAACCATGCCCAAGCATCAAGTTTTGAACCTTACAATGAAGGGAAGTTGGGTGTTGACTGGGTAAGTAGGGGACCAGGCAGGTGACAGAAATGGTAAGTCTGTGGAGGGAACAAAGTGAGCTAGATAGATCGACAAATAAGGGGCTCTATGTTGAAATTAATTGGTCAAACACAAATCCACTGGACTACAGTAAAAGGGGTGGGGCAGTCGGCGAAGTCCCCACTCCCTGTTTGGACTGTTCCCACCGAGGTCGTCCGGGTGGGTGATTGCAGGGCCCAGAGGCGGCTCGGGTCTGCAGGGCGGTGCCCCAGCACGCAGCGCCTCTCTCAGCCGCCCCCGGTGGGCGAAGCCGGGCCACCGCCACCGCCCCCCGCAGCAACATGTGGGGCGCTGCCACTCCGGAGCCGGGGAACTCACTCGGGCAGGAGTTCCTGGCACGCACGCTTGGCCGGGGGAAGGGGGCTGAATGACTCCTGGAAAGGTTCCCCAGCCTTGAACTTGGCAGCTCCTGACATTTGCATCTTGCCCCGGCGTGCGCCGGCTGGGTACACTGGCGCACACAGGTCGCTCCAGACCTGCCCCGCTGCACACACAGCTCAGCCCGCCACCCGGCGCAGATGCGCGCGGGCGCAGAGGACGCGACCCCGGCCCGGTGGGAATGTCCCGGCCCGGAGCAGTGGCCGCTGCTCAGCCCGCTGCTGGGTTCGATGCGCGCCCGCATCCGCCGGCCTGGTACCCAGCGCGCCTCCCTTTGTGCTCTCCCGGGAAGCCTGCCTCTACTCACCCGGGCTGCGCGCGGATCCCGGCCGCCAACGGCAGCCCGCTGCCCCATCCCACGAGCACTGCGGCGCCCCCAGAGTGTGCAATGCGGACGCCGCCCGCGCGCCGCCCGAGCTGGAGCGCAGGAGGGAGGAGGGAGGCCGCGAGCGCGGCGGGAGGGATGCGCGGGGCGGCGGGGGGGGGGGGGGGGGCGGGGGCATCTCCAAAAGGGAGGTGACTGTGCTTCTGGTGAATTAAGTAATTATCATGCAATTATGGTATGCTTTCCAAAAGAGAAGCGCTTGAAATACGTTCCTGTAAAGCCACTCCCACTCGCGCCCGGCCAGCCCGGCCTCACCGCCGCGGGACCAATCAGCGCGCGCAGGAGGAGCCGAGCCCTCCGAGGGGTGCCCTCATTGGCCCCGCGTACGCCGCCCAACTCGCAGGGACTCCGTAGCAAGTCTGCAAACTCCAGCCGCCCGGCGCAGGTGGCGGAAAAAGGGGAACTTGGGACCTGTCCGGGACGCCGGTTCCCACAGAGCGTCCACGGCGATCAGTGTTTGCTCAGGGCGCAGGTTCCTTCCTGTGCGACCCCCTTGCCTCCCGCCAGCCGCGGGGCACACTGCAGGCAGATTGAATGACAGAGCCCGGGCCAAATCTCACTCACTACAGTCCTCCAGGGACAACCCGCTGGAGCCAGAGCTCTAGAGCAAGCGGAGTCCAGACCCAGGACCTGCAAAAGCCACTTGATGTTTGTAAAAGAGAACCCAGGTTGTGGAGCGGAGAGTTGGACGGGTGAGAAGGCAGGGCTTGCTTTGCAAATGGGAATTTAGATACGGAGTTTTGAGGGAAACCCCAGGGCATGCTTCTACCTTCTGTCCCACACTTGCCCTGTGTAACAACTCCACCCCAGACTGAAATCTCAGTCTTTCGACACCCGTTCCCCGACCTCTCTCCTTATAAATAGTGTTTAACACTCCTGGACTTTTCCTTTCTGCCCCAAACCCATCGCTTCATATCCATCTGGGCAGCGCCAAGAGCTGATGAGCTGGGATGACCAAAGATCTAGGGGAGGACATAGGTCCTCCTGTAGCCTGGGAGCCCGGACCAGCTGCCACACCTCTGCCTGATCTGTCGGTACCTTACCTGAATAGGGCTACCCTCAAGAGGGCAGCCTTCCCGGAGCTACGTTGGTCCCATGCTCGATCTCCCTCAAGTCCTCTTGGGCACTCTATTTCTGAAGCTTTTTAAGGCCTTCTTTGAATCTCCCTGACTCTGCCCTTCCAGATAAATTTCCCTCCCAACAAAAAAAAAAAAAAAAATGCTTACCAAAAAAAAAAAAAAAAAAACCATACCAAAAAACAAAAACAACAAGCCTCTTCTCCTCACCCCGGCTGCTCTGCTCCTTTGGAAGAATCTAAGATAAGGTATTTTGATCAACAGCTTCCAGACCTCAGCAATTTTTCCCCCTCGATTTATGTGCGTGCACAGGCTCGTTCAAACCTTCACAAGCTCGGAGTTCAAGTGGCGGGAAATAATGAGCACTGCTTTAGGATCTTTTGACAAACGGAGATGCTGCTGTGTTTGTCTTCCCCCAGGGCTCAGCGCTTGGAATTTGCATTTTATGAATTAATCAAAGTGAACCTGTCTGTGGCCCTGAGTGTGTGGGCAGGTTACATCTACAGGTTAAAATCCCTTACTAATGAGAGCATGTCAAGGGTGCATCACCACCACCTATTTCCTTTCCAGGGAATAGCTGTTAAGGAAGTTCCTTCACATAAAGCCTAGTTCATCTGACTGAAGAAAACAAAATTATTCAGGACTAGAGTTTCAGTTAATGGTAGAGCCCCGGCCTAGAATGCAAGAGGCCCTGGTTTTAACACCTAACAGGGCAAAAATTAATTCAGTACATAGTTTATATTAGGTAATATTTAATATTTGTATTCTAAACAAAGTTAAGACTAGGCATGATGATGTATGCTCCTCATCCCGGCACTGATGAGGTAGAGACAGGCAAATCAACCTTTCAAAGCCAGCCAGCCAGGGCTACATAGTGAGTTCCTGCCTCAGAAACAAGCAAAACAAGAATAATAGGAAGTCATCATTGTGGATCAACATATTATAGCAGTTCATAAGGCCAGAGACCTGAGAAATGAATTTTTCAGCTGATTTTTCAAAACCTGTATTTCAAGAGTAAAGGGCATACAGGCAAAATGTCAGCAGTGATCATCTCTACGAACTGGGATAATGGGTAAAGTTTTGTTGCTTCATTCTTTGTACTTTATCATATTTTCTAATGAACATATCTAAAAAACAGCTAAATGTGTTAACTGCCAACATACAAAGCTCCTCAGGCATCAAAAAGCTAAACATGCTACAGCCTTCTACTTTACCCTCATGTCTTTATCATCAAGGCCCATGATCCTGTTTGCAGAATAGCCCTCAGATCTGCCCTCCTTTGCCCACCCTCATTTTGTATTGGAACCTTAGCAACAGCATTTAACCCATTCTCTCCAGTACTGCCATCTCTTTTTGACAGAATCTAATCTGATTATATGGCTAAAACTCTGCAGTTCCCCCATTAGATATCAAACTGAAAGCCTTTCGTTGTGTGAGCCAGCCTCCCACGTTGATCTCATCCTGCTCAACGTTTCCTGAGGCGGAAGAAACAGTCATGTCTAAGACATTATGGTGCTGGAAGCTGCCTTTCTCTTCCTCTTAACTCCCCACCCTGGACAGCAAGTTCCTATATTTTACTTCAAGATTCACTTCTGATGTTATCTTTTTTGTTGTTGTTATATCTTATTTATATTTCTTTTATGTGTATATTTGCATGCATTAAGTAAATACACCACATGCATGCAGTGCCTGCAGAAGCTAGAAGAGGGTATTAGGTCCTCTAGAACTGGAGTTGCTGATGATTCTTAGCTGCCATGTGGATGGTCCCCTGCAAGTGCAGCCAGTATGAGCCATCTCACTGAGCCATCTCTCCATTCCTGATGTCACCTTCTTAATGAAGTCTTCATAACTGCCACAGGGAAGAATTAGCAACTCCTCCTCACCATGCTTCAACACAGAGCATATATTTATTCAATGACTATTAATCCAGCTCCTGTTATATGCCAGGCACAATGATGAAAGCATCTATCTATTTAGTCTCCTGGAGCACACTATGAGAGAGATAGACTTTAAATCAAGTGGTCACACAAATAAATAATTTCAAACTGAAGTATGTGCGATGACACTACTACATCTGCAAAAGCAGGGACTGATTAGAACATTCATATATCACAGGTCTTAGCAAATTGTCTTATAATCTATTGATTTATTACTGGACATTCTTTCATCATATGCTTCTGTGTACTTCCATGTAGACCATAAGTCCTGACCCACAGTAGGTACTCAGGAAAAATGCTGAATAAATGAATATTTTAACATCTGCCCCAGAAGCATTTTATTTCATGTGTTAACATGTTATTGTCCAAAATCCAAATGGTTTTCGTTCCATGTTGTAAACATTATCATTGGATCCTTGCCTCCTTTTTCTGCACTGAGTACTTCCTGTAAATCATCTGATGTTTTCCTAGTTGATAAACATTTTATGAATTTTACCTTTTTTTCCTTCTTTTTTGTTGTTTTTGTTTATTTGTTTTGTTTTTTTAAGACAGAGACATCCTGTAGCTCCAGCTGGCCACTCACTAAGTAGACCAGTCTGCCTCTACCTCCGAGTGCTGTGTTTAAAGGTGTGCACCACCATGACTGGCTACAAATTTTACTTTTAAAATAGAAATACAAGGCCTAAATTTTTTTAATATTTTATTATTTTTATTTTATGTGTATGAGTTTATTGTCTGCATGTATGTGAGGGCACCCGTGTTGTGCAATGCCACGGAGGTCAGAAGAGGGCTTCGGATTCCCCTGGAACTGGAGTTAAGGACAGTTTGTAGCCGCCATGTGGGTACTGGGAAGCGAACCTGGGTCCTCTGCAAGAGCAGTCAGTGCTCTTAACCGCTGAGCCATCTCTCCAGCCCCAAGGCCTAAAAATTTAAAAACAGATGAAAAAGCACAATCCATAAGAAAAAATAAGTAAGTTGGAATTTGTCTAAGCCATCTTCTTTGAAATAACACTGCTAAAAGAATGAAAAGACAAATGTAGACTGGGAGAAAATACTTGTAAATCATCTCTGATGGGGGACATATAGCCAATATACAAAGAACTCTCAAATCTCAACAAGAAAATAACAGCCAACGGTGTTAAATGAACAAAAGATATACAGATGATGACAGCATATAAAACAATGTGAAATATCATTAGTCATTGTATTAGTCAGAGTTCTCTAAAGAAACAGAACTGATAAAATGAAATATATATATATATATATATATATATATATGATTTTAGTAGATTAGTTAACAGGATAGTGTCTGAGTAGTCCAACAATGGCTGTACCCTACTGGAGAGGCTGAGGAATCCTCTGGTGGTGGCTCAGTCCACAAGGCTGGATGTGTCAGCAGTCCCAATCTGGCCCTGAAGGCCTGAAGAATTTCTGGAAGTCTGCTAGTCACCAGTTTACATTGGAATCCCAAGAAGTTAGTTCTATCAGTGAAGGAATGCCAGAGCAGCAAGAGGAGCTCACCAGTGAGAGAAGACAAGCAGGCAAAAAGCAAAATCTCCCTTCTGTGATGACTTTTTATACCAGCCCATCAGAAGGTAATGCTCACATTTAGGTGGGTCTTCCAGCTTCAAATAATCCAATCAAGAAAGTTTCTCTCATTTCAGTTAATTCGAGATCCAATCAAGTTGACAATCAATAAAAGCTGTCACAGTAATTAATGAAATTCTAATTAAAATCACTCTATATATCTGCTAGAATAGTCTTTTTAATATTTTATTTATTATTTTTATTTTATGTGTATGAATGTATTGCCTGCATGTAGGTAAGTGCACCCATGTCGTGCAATGCCCGTGGAAGACAGAAGAGCATGTTGGATCCCCTGGAACTGGAGTCACAGACAGTTGTTAGCTGACATGTGGGTGCTGGGATTCGAACTCAGGTCTTCTGCAAGGTCAGTGTTCTAAACCACTGAGCCATCTCTCCAGCCCCCTAGAATAGTTTTTAAAAATTATAGAAAAAAAACAACAATTCTAGGCACTGACAAGGAGGAAGAGCAAGTAAAAAT